ATTTTGGTCAATGACATGAGACAAAGTATATGTGAACTGCTGTATGAAAAGTGAATTTACTCTGTAAATATTCACCCAAATCAAAATAAAATTAAAAAAAAAAAAAATTAAACATCAAATCAAGCAAATGGCAACTGTAAAAGAGCAGGAGTTGCAATATTAATTTCTGATCAAATTGACTTTAAGACAAAAACTACAATATGAGACAAGGAAGGACATTATATAATGATTAAAAGATCAATTGAATAAGAAGATATAACCATAATAAATATCTATGGAGCCAGTGAAAGAGCCCTAAAATACATAAATCAGACTTTAAAAGAGTTGAAAAGGCAAATAAATGACCACAGTCATAGTAGGAGACTTTAATACACCACTTTCAATGAAAGATAAAACAACTGGAAAAAAACTCAACAAATATGCAGAAGAGCTAAACAATACAATCCACCAACTTGATCTTACAGACATCTACAGAGTACGTCAACCCAACAACAGCACAATATACATTCTTCTCCAGTGCACATGGAACATTTCCATGATAGACCATATGTTAGGCCATAAAGCAAGCCTTCATAAATATAAAAACATTGAAATACTGCAAAGCATCTTCTCAGATCACAATGCTATCAAATTAGAAATCAACAATAGGAAGATCAACGGAAAAAAGTAAACACATGGACACTGAACAGCATCCTCCTTAAGAAACACTGGGTAAGAGAAGAAATAAAAAGTAAAATCAAAAATTTCCTTGAATCAAATGAGAGTGAAAACACAGCATACCAAAATATTTGGGACATAGCAAAAGTAGTGATTAGAGGCCAATTTGTAGCAATAAATGCACACATCAAAAAAGAAGAGCCAAAATCAACACGTTAAATCAACATCTCTAACAATTACAAAAAGAACAGCAAGAAAAGCCTATGATCACCAGAAAAAAGGAAATAATCAAGATCTGAGTAGAAATAAATGAAACAGAAAATAGAAAGACAATAGAAAAAATCAGTAAGAGCAGAAGTTGGTTTTTTGAAAAGATTAATAAAATTGACAAACCATGGCAAATTTAACTGCAAAAGAGGGAGAGAATAACACAAATAAGAAACGAAATGGGTGACATCACAACAGAACCAACTGAAATAAAAAG